TCCCAGTTCTACACGACCTTTCTTTCCAAAGTTATAGAATTTACAAGAAAAGCCCTAAACTAATTTCTTCTTATTTCGGTAGCTTTGAGCTGACCATGAACGTTTGGGGCTTTTCATGTAAATTTTATAACTTTGGAAAGAGAGGTCGTGTAGGACTGGTAGAGGTCTCATTTTAATCAGAAATGTGCGGGCTACAATTAAGTGGGGTTTTGGTTATCTTTCAGAGTTTCTGAAAAACTAGTGTTCCAGAAAACCGGTATCTGGAGGCCTAGACGCCCAAGCCACTGTGATATTCGGATTCAGCACACTCTTTTATTCACTATTGTCCACTAGGTTTCGTGAAAAAAGCGATCGGACAGTGGAAGTGCTTTCCTCGGCAGCGAAGAGTTTTTCACATAATCTTACGCTAGTTTCGTTCTTGAAGCAAAACTCTAGGTACAAAACTTGTTCAGAAATTAATTCTGCAGTGAAAACTAGTTTTAGCTGAAAAACTTCGTTGGAAATTCTCGGAAAGACTGGTTCGCGTGTGAATATTACCGACAAAGTAACGCTTGCCGTATGTGCGTAGAGAACATGAGAAACACTTTTCATCGTTCCCGAATGAAGTTTCACACAGAAATTTAACGTTCACCGTCCCGAGGAAGTTTTACAGCTACATCTTTTTTGTACGCACAATTCTTGTCTTTTGTAAGGTGCAGGCAATTCAAACTTCAAATAAAAAATTTTTTTGCCGCTTTTTTGCATCATTTGATAGAGTGAGAGTTGCTGATCACGAAAAACAACTTTTTACCTTACACAAATATGTTTTTCAGGTCGGAAAATACGAAAAAATCGAAGTATGTCGTATTTTTCAAAAAACACATTTTTTTCAAAATACGCCTTATATTTCGGTTCGTGCTTTCTCTGAGTTTCTCAAAATATTTTTTTCAGATTCAGCATCAAAAACTGAGCCTAGACGAGTTGTTAAATTGGCTTAAGACCCCGGCATCTTTTCACAGTGGCACTCCAAATCACACCGAGTGCAATGCGCATAAGTCGTTTTTGGAAACGTATCAAGTTTTTTTACATAAGCGACGAAGTCAAATGTTTTATCTCATTCAACTCAACATACCATCAGCTACAAAACTCCGCATTCTTTTTTTTCCTTTTCTTTCCTTTGTTGAAAAAGTTCGTTTTTACTGGTATCATAGGAAAAGGGGAAGGTCATTTTTCAATAAAATGCTTATTTTTTATTCAAATAAAGTGAAAATTTTTTTACATACGCAAAAACTGATGATGAATCTAATGGGTATACTTTTGAGATGTCTAGAGGGTCTTCAAGGGGTCTCTGGAAAACTTTTCTGCAAAACCCAGAGGGCTTTTGACATTTTTTTCGATTTCCATTTCGGACGGACTTATATCAAGCGGGAAAAAGCGCATTTCGCCACTCCTTGGAGTGTCGAAGTGCTTGGAGTGGTGCCGTGGGCTTACGGAAACGTTATTGAACTGAACTGTCCCATAAATCTTTGTTCCCACAAGCAGAACAAAAATTCTGTCTGTAGGAAAAGAATTTACAGAATAGAACACAATTGCCCCGTTATCAGGGAAATATTCCCAACAAAAGAACATGATTGTTCTGTTTTGGGGAAGAATATTGAGAGAAATATCACTATTTTATTCTAAAAGAAAACAACACACTTCGCCACTTTGTAGCATTGTACGGAGTGCCTAGTTAATTGCAATATTTCCGAAAGCCCTCTGCTCAAAAGCCTACTTTTCCAGAAGTCCATTATGAAAGTAAAAACCAAAGGAGATTGCTATCACCACTGGAATCAGCATGTCTGAAAACCTCCAGGCTCTGAGATTCAACCTGAAATGTTCATTTCAGTAGACTGTAACCCAATTTTTCTTGTATTGGAAAGACGCTCATTGAAGCAGCTACTCTTACACAGATAAATTATGTACACAAACACATTGTTTATCAAAATACACAGTCGATAGTATATAAGTCTGTCCGAAAATAGAGAATGGAAAAAATTGTCAAAAATGGTTTGGAATGGTATGGAATGGCCCATTTCTCTTTTTTCCCTTTGGATATGTGTCAAATAATACAAAAATACACCGGTGTCAGCGACATCAGAAAACTTTTTTTCTTATCCACTTAAATATTTTAGTTCAAGTTTGTGAAGTAATTTTCAGCTGAAATTATGAGCTTTCAAAATATCTACTTGAAATTTAAATCACTTAGAGTAGACTGGGGCAATTGGAAACGATTTTTTGCTGTTTGGACTTCTAATCACTATAACTTTGTTAATTTTAATTATCTTTTTGAGATTTTTTTACAGGTGGGTAGAGGAGGAAGTTCTCTATAAGCCTATCTAAAAATTTTCAAGAAACTCCGTGTTCAAAGAGAACTTCCGGTGTTTTGCTGAAAGCTCTAACGAACGTTTCCAATTACCCCACTTGGGGCAATTGGAAACAACAATAGAAATTGATGGGGTAATTGGATACGACATGGATTTTACACGGGAAATAATTCATTAGTAAAAAACAGTTTGCTCGTTAAGCTAATCATACTAATTAATAATTTTTGCACGAGTGAATAGACCAATTATTGCTCTACAAATGGTGAGAATCCCCAAGCTCTACTCATTAATTAGCCTGAGCTCTAATTAAAAAGGTAAATGCTGAGAAGTTTTCAAATGTTTCCAATTACCCCATTTGGGGCAGTTGGAAACGTACGTGAAAGTTAGTGGGGTAAATGGAAACGACCATGTAAAATAGCTGGAAAGCTAGGAGTTTCTTGGAAATCAGTTTTTATTGGAAGAACACCTCTCACAAAAAAATTTACGCTTATAAAAAGATGCAGAATATTCTTCTCTATAAGCCCAGAGAAACTCTCACTCGTTTTCATTCAGAACTAACGAAATAAGCATATTACACGAGAAAGTTGGTAGGCTATCTCGAGAATCACTGAACGAAACTTTATGAAACTTGGCGCTTAAGGGTTTCTCAACGTCCTCTTTCTTTTCTTCTCTAGAAAGTTTTCTCTAAAACTCTCAGAAGTAGGATTTTGTAGAAAACCGTGGTTTTTGGGCTACTTGTACTTCTTAAAACGATTTTTGAAAATCACTCTTAAGACATGAAACATTTTTAATGATATATTTGAATTCAGCGTCGAAACGTGAACTCTCTGCTACAGACGATGTATGTAACAGAGAACACAAGAACAGGTGCATGAACGAGAGAGAAAGAAAAAGAAAATGCTCATCTGGCGTCTGCCTACCACTCTCCTTCTATAGAAACAGCTCTACACAGTCATTTTCTTCCTAAAAACTAGATCACGCACTTCTAACTTGTTTTGTAATAAAGAAATAACGGATCTACGTTCTTTACCTAGGTCACTTTGCAGACATTGAAAAATATATTAAAGACAAACTCGATCTAATTTGTGGAGGCGCTGCTGACAGTCATATGAAGAACTCAATGGATCACGAGAAACTTAATACATAAATTTTTTTCGTTTGCATGCTGAAAAAGGACACATCGACGATCGTTCATATAGGCTCTACTAGTATCGCTAGTGCCGAATATCTTATTTGGATTGTTTTTGACCTTTATCAGTTCGAAAAAGGTCAATGTTAAAGGTTAAATTTAAAGAATAGAGAAAATAAAGTGAAACTAGAAAGAGACTTTCTAGAGATCCCCTAAAAAACCATGATCTGTAATATTGGAATCTCGTGATATAACAGGTAATTTTCTCATCGATATAGTCTATAGTAGAATTCATCCTCCTGTTGCATCAAGGAAGTTTTATTATTTCAAATGGCTGGTGCTTATGATACCGAACAACAGAGAATGATTGACAGAATTAAATGTATTACGTTCCGAGAAGCTCGCGATGCTAGTGCAACATTTATAAACAGACAATGGATCGCCGACAAAATTCACCGTACCACTCGGTTTGTGTCAGAGTGGTGGGAAAAATCGTATGACCAATGCTTTGCTGATTATTCAAATGCTGGTGGTCCTAAACTCAAGTTATCACAAGCCGCTCAGGACATTATTCGTGCATATTTTCGTATGCCTTTGTTCATCCCTGACCAAAAATAACGTTCACGTATTGTCTTTAATGTACGATCACGGGCGAAATGTGAGCCATTGGCACGAGTATCATGATATATCTGCATGATACTTTTTCGTATTTTACCCTTGGGAATGACTGGTACCAATACGACTGGACTGGACCACGGGAATGTCGATGGTTCGATAATATCTTGTTTCAATAATTTATCCGTTTCATCTTGTATACGTTGTTGATCTTTCCCCGATTGCCTATACGGTGGTATGTGAATAGGAGGATGATTACCCGTGTTTATGGCACCTTCCAAAGTGTAATTTATCACTGATGGTTGTGTGTCAAATAAGCGCCCGTTTTTCCATAAAATACCTTGTAATTGTTCATGTAGATCCTCGTTTTCGATATGCTTCGTCATTGTATCAATATGTTCACGAATTTGTGTTGGATAACATTGTTGACGCAGATGTACATGTAAATCATTTCTAGATAGAAAATTTTTCTGGCATACATAACACTGGTGAATTGGAGTTTTCGATTACAATTCACGGAATTTGTCCGTGCGAAAACGAACATTCCCTTTTATTGGTTTAGATGCAATTGTATAACAAATTATTGATTCAGTCTGGAATGCTATTGTACCCAATTTTGTATGTTTCGATAAAGTAAATTGACGATTATTTGCATTGATGATTAATACTTTTGTTGCATGATTTTTTACATTCAGTAATGCACTGGCGGTGAATAGACCTTTTCGATGAAGCACAGTGGGCATTTTTAGCTAGAGCAAGCGGACTTTAGCTTTATGAGTGAACTAAAATTTCATGAACCATTTTTTTATAGGTTTTTCATGATCCTCTTTCTAATGGCATGAGAGTTGGGTTTTGAAAAAGTTTTCTAAAGAGTTTTTCAGAGATCCGGTCTCTGGAAAACCCTTCAGAAAACTTTCTCAATATTTAAAAACGATGCCACTGGAAAGAGCATTGTCGAAAACCTATAAGAAACGTGTTTCGAATCGTTCAGGTTACTTTATCTTGAAATTCAAGTTTTCAGCACGAAATTGTTTGTGGGAATCTCAAAAAATCAGAAGTTTCTAGAATTCAAAATCGAGCGACCGAAACTAGGTGAGTTATACATCATTCGATGCAGTTTTTCACGCTGATTCAGAATCAGGTTTTATATTTGACAAAATGTCTTTTTTTCACGGAGAAAATTTCGAAATACCCGAAAACCGTTAGGGTTTTTGGAAAATCCATAGCTCGACCTAGAAGCTTTAGGGG